TTCTGACTTCTGACCATAACAAGAGACATTAAAGATGCGGCGACGCTGGCTACCACTACTGCTCCTTGATTCTGTAGCTACCGCCCTTTAACTTTACGAATCCTTCTTCTCCGATTGCGATGTTCATTGTCACGTCATCATGCAATTTCGCTGTTGGGAGTCCTAGCGTGCTTTGCAAACGAGGTTGGGCGTGGACCCTTACCCGGGCTTCTACGACAATCAGAGGCTCTTCGAATGCACGTTTATAGCTGCACTGGAGCCAACACCTCACAAAAGAGCACGGGGGCTCCCCCCATCGCTTCGAGGAGTGGCGAGCGCCGGGACAAGATGGGTGGCGAGGACGCCTTCAGCTTCATGGCGAGATTGCTGCAGTCCTGTTCCGAGTACTTGGCTTCCTGATGCAGGTCTGCCACTGACACCCTGTGCATAGAAAAAGCCTGCACCTGTTCTCGCCTCGCACTCCCCGTGCTTCCCAGCAAAGCTCGAGGTCTCGAGTGTGCAGTGAAAACTGGTGTTATGCTTTGGTTTAGGTGGCAAGGCTCGTTGAGGGGAAGGAATGTGTGTAGCTGAAATCATCATGAGGCCAGCTTCTAAGTTTTCGGTCTGCATGGCCTGAAGGTGAAGCCCTCGCTCGTTACAAGCGATTTCCTTCTCGGGCGCGACTCCGGCGAGAGGCCAGGCCGTTGAGGCTGAGAGTGACGAAATGCGAGGGCCAAAAGTTTATGACACACCCGGGCAGTCAAAGCAGCAAGGGCTGTCGCAGAGTAGACGTGAAGCTGTCAAAGACCGAGCTGAGGCATCGGCATCCGCGGCTGCTAGGTGGAACGAGGAGAAGGCAAGTCTTGAGGTGGTGTTGATGTGCTTCTACGACTCTACAAGTCCCCACAGCTTCGCGGAAGCCTTAAGTGCCTCGTTTGCTGCTCGACTTTAGCTGATGCACTCAAACTTGTGTTGTCGGCCCACTAGTGAAGAAGCTTTCAGGCCCGTGCGAGCAAGCGTTCAACACACATGCAAACTTGGCACCACCAACCTGCCCCACCAGCTGGAAGCACCGCTTGAGCCGGTGCAAGCGGGAACCTGCGCAGGAGAGAAGCATGTGTAAGCTGACGCGAGCACCCTGAACACGCCTTGCATACTTCTACTATCCGACTGCGAACCGTGAGACCTCATTAGGCTTGTTTGAGCTGTGAGGGCATGATCCAAAGAGTCACCGAAATGTCTGTCCAAGTTACAGAGCCGGGTGCGAGGATGCTTGAAGGCTTGAAAGTCTGGGAAAAAGCTGTGCAACTTCATGAAAACCCGAAACACTGTCACGGCTCGTGTGCTTTCCACGGGTTCATGGTATCCTGCATCGGAGGTAGGGCCAGGGCTGGGTTAGTGCAGAAGTCACAGGGAAGGACGGCTTGCATGTGACGTGCACCAAGCATCCGAAGCCACCCCGGCTGTTGATCCTGCCAAATGGCGTGCCAGTTGCCTGACCTTGTGTTCGTGGATGGCGAGCATGATTTTGAGCAGCTGGGCCCGCAATAGGCTGGAGGTTGAAACGAACCAGACAAAGCTGCCGAGTTGTCGGAGCCAGTGTGTCCGACTGCCATGCACAGCTGTGAGTGACCCAGCTGTGAACGGAAGGTCATCATCACATGGGGACAAGGATCCAGAGCATGTTTCAATTCGCAAGCAGCTAGAGTTTCGGGCAGTTTTCTCTTGGTTTGATTGCTTGTACATGTGTCGCTAGGCGCCGTCCTAGTTAATTGCGAGTCCAGGTCATGCGCCCGCGACATTCGCAGCTGGTCCCAACTTGTGCCACCTGGTGGGGTGGTTGCCGGCCACGACTATCGTGCTGGCTGGGGGCTTGTCGTGTATGCACGGGGAAGCAGCGCGACATTGGTTCAGTCGTCAAGCTCTGAAAACCGGCAAGAGATTGCACGAGACCTCAGACACCTGTTGCAATCCCACCCGTGTTCGTTGACTTCCTCCTGTGAGGCGTGGAGGGCGTCCCCAGAGCTGTGCATGCGCTGATACCGGACCCACTTGCAAGTCGGGTTGGGGGCCAGGAGGATCGGACGCCTTTTCTGGATTAGTAACGACACGGGCTCGGTGCATTAGGTATGCGGGTCCGTTTGGCGCTTCCGGAAGCTAAGACTTGCGCTCTTTCGTGTAAAATGAAAAAAGGCAACAGGCAGTCTTAGAAGGAAGAGCAACCCGGAGCCCCACTGAGTTTGAGGCTGCTTCGGGATCAGATGGTTTTCAGCATCACTACTGGTTCATTGTTTTGGGACTTTTGGAAAGACCTAGTGAGTTTCAAATTTCTATTTTGGATGCTTGATATCGACCACGGCCGCTGTTGCTGTTTCCGTTGATGCTCAGCCATGTAGGCAAATAATTTTCCAGCATCGCAGCATGGTGGAAGGGAACGGGGTGTGGCGGACCGCTGCCAAGCTGCGGCTCCTTTTCCTGCGGAGGAGGCTCTGGGCAAGTAGCCCCAACGGCTCTCTCGACCCCAGCAAAGTCAACGGCTGTGTGCTGGTGTTGGTGCAGACCATCGGCAAAAACCTCTTCTTGCATTTTGACACACCCGTTGGACTTCATGTTCTCCATCTCCACTTTGGCATGTCAGGTCCAGTGGCAGCTCCGCTCGGGCATCAGAGGGAATTTGTGAGAGCATAGAAAGAAGAGGCTCTAAGCGTCCGATACGGCTTGGCTCTGAGTTCATCTTGTGCCCTGTCAGGTGGCATCCCTCTCTTTCGGTTGTCAGAGGACCCGGGGCCGCGAAAGACGTCCCGCCTGAGGCTGGAAAGCTCCGAGACCGAAGTTGTGGGTTACATGTCCGGCATATTATGTCGGCTCTTATCCGTTCCGCAGCTGGCAAAGGTGACAGCACAGTTAGGCCCAGATCCTCTCCGTGTGGACAGCGAGCCGCTACGGGCATGGAAGACCATCCGCTCCTCCTCGCGGCCCATTGGTCTGATGCTGATGGACCAGTCGGTCATGGCAGGCATTGGCAACATTTATCGAGCCGAGTTGCTGCACCGCCTCCGCTGGCACCCTCTGCGGCCTGCCTGCACTTTTTCTTCCTCAGACTTCGACAGGCTTTGGAGGGAAAGTGTGATGCTTCTACAGCTCGGTGCCAGGGTCGGCAGCCTTGTGACTGTGCTTGACGATGAATGGCTCAACTGCAGGAACCACAGCCAGGACCAAAGCAAGGATTCACGTAAGCGCCGTTGGGTTTATTTCCGGAAGGCATGCTTGACTTGCGGTCTCTCTGTTCGCTGCTGGACCCTTGGCGGTCGAATTTGCTTCGCTTGCGAGTCTTGTCAGCTCCCTTGGCAAGATCCCGATTGTGCTTTCGTCTGTGAGACTGGCGAGCACCATGGATGCAAGGGAGGGAAGGAGAGAGAAGAGGGAGAGAGGGCGCAAAGCTTTCAAAATTGGGGCCATAACGTTGATCCGAGATTGATCCAGCAAAAGAAGACCCAGTTCAGGAAGCTTGGATGGAAGAGGCCAGCGAAGCCATCCCGTGGTAAGGGCAAGAACAAGGTGTGCCAGGATGTGGGGGGCCAGAAACCCGAAATCAGCGCACAGGAGTCCAGCATGCTGGCTTCACTGAAGGGTCTTGCTGGGCCAGCTCCCTTCACGGTTCTGGAAAATTCTGTTTCTGAGACCCTGAACGTGGCAAGACTTCGCCAGCTGCTCGCAGAGCGACTATTGCCTACAGAGGGCTTGAAGGCGGTGCTGGTGGAGCGGTTTAATTCTCATCGAAGCTTTCACGACAAGGCAGGCTTTGCTCCGGTCTTCTTCGGCAAGAGCGAGGAGCTCGGTCTCGATCCCTGGCCTCCGGAGCCTGCGCGAGCACGGGCATTTGCTGCGATCCATTGCTGGAGAACGCAGGAGTCCATCCACGCTTGGGTCCAGCAAGACCCCAAGCGCTATCGCTACGGCCGTCTCTCAGGTCGCATCAAGAAGCCCGAGGGGAAAGACTTGGACTTATGGCCGGAGAAGGAAAAGGACAAGGCTGAAAAGGCTCTGGAGCCGTCCGGCCGATCCGGCACCAAGCGGAAGGCCCGCAACGCGGATGTGAACGCAGCGAAGCCGAAGCGACGACAAAAGCTCGTGGCCAAGAAAGAGAATCCTAGCAAGGTCCGGAAGTTTGCACGGCTATCCTCTGCTCCGACTGTTCCTGCTCCGACATCGGGCCCAGTCAGACTTCGACCCAGCGGCATATTCCTGGACCTGTGCGATTTGAAACCACCGTCAGCTGCGAATGCTGCAAAGATAGTGGATTTAGATGACCTGTAAGTACGGGTCGGAGTCTTGTGCTCGCCAAGAAAACGGAGTGGTTTGCAGGCCTTTTTCGTGAGACCCTTCGAAGTTTGAAGGTGTTGTCCCTATGTCCCCGCAAGCCCGCACAAGAATGAACACGGAGCGATGACATAATGATTAGTAAGTCTTATAGTTTATGGTGACTCGTGATACTGGTGGAGAGCATGGGAGCTTCTGGGTTCAGGCCGCTCCTGGGCCTTCTTGAAACCAAGGAAAAGAGGAAGCAGACGTTCTGGGTTTAAATATGCCTTCGTGCATAGCCAATGGGAGGAGTCGGCCACGCTGCACCTGGGACCCCACGGTGTGTGGTGGTGGCGCGTGCCGCCACGCTGAACCTATTGGATTTGGAAAAGCCGTGCCCGTTTCACCTTGCATTTTCAATCCAAGTGGGCCAAAGAAGGGCTTTCAACTCTGTACAAACGGCCTCAAAGAGCGTTTACAACGGCATGTGCGCAAGCACATGGGCCACCATTATTCGAGTCTTGGCTCCCCGAGACAGGTGATTGCTTAGAAACTCAAAAAGCATGGGTCCTTGAGTCGATGCACTTGAGTCTGATGCTGCTACAGACGCATTCGGCCCGTCAGCTCATCATCCGAGGGCCCCATGATCACTAAGATCGTTTGCTTGCGTCTTGAATGGGAGCAGGGTTCCTCACTTTGCCACGGACGAAGTAGCTCAGGCGCCGCTGCGCAGAATACGCCCTAGTCGAAGCCGGAGCCCGCCGGAGAGGGCGAAGGAGACCTGACTCTGTTCAGCCCGGAATCTGCGGCTTCGTTCAAGCCGGCATTGAGGCTTGTACCGGAAGCAGCCTCAACTTGCCTGATCTCCCCCGAGTGCGAAGGGCCCAGCCTTCCCTCCTGCGTCTCGAGCATCTAGCTTCACCGGCCCCTCAGGACAAGGCCTTAGTAGAGGGAGCCAAACCATGCCAAACCCACATCGCCAAGAATCGAGTGCACAGGAGAAGTCCGACGAAGGCAGCGACCACAAGGCACCATGGCCGGGGTTAGCTTAAGGAGCGCAATCGTCGCAGTTGCAGTGCATGCATCGGGAAACGTCCATGCCCCTACGACACGGAATGAACACTGCAGACGTGTTGATCACGATCACGGTCAGAAGCGAAGAAGAAAGGCTTTCAGATTATGCATGGCCCCTTTTTGAATCACAGACACGGCAGCAGTCTCGTTTGATGCCTGCGGGCGGCTTTCCCAATTCCAGCAGTAGTAGTAGTACCTCCTCGTCAACGCATTTTTATTAGTCATTGCCATCACGTAAGTCACGCTTGCAGACACGACGATTCCTGGAGGTGCTTGTTAGAGAGGCCCCTCAAGGAAATCGCAGGATGTCTTACAGGTACAATACAGGGTTGAAATGTGTGCAGTGTATTGGTGATGGGCGCTCCGGAAGTTGACAGTTGACTTCTGCTCACGCCTACAAAGCTTTGGGAGAAAGCCTGCCGTCAGCAGTTTGCACGTACCATTTGCAAGAAGTCCCCTGCTGTTTTTGGAGAAACGATTGCTGGCCCAAGGCTCCATGCGATGTGGAGCCTGCCCCAAAAGAGACAAAGGCACCGCCTGCTGCACGGAAGTGTTCCCAGGGGACCTAAGGCCTACACCCAGGCAAAGGGGTTCTCGGCAAAGATGCTAGGCTTGCTCGAAGCGTTGCTGCTAGCAGGCTTATGCCTGGATGGACAGCGATGATGAGGGCGCAGGGTCTGGAAGCGAAGGCTTGCAGCCCTTGCAGGATCGCGTCTCCAGCTAAGGTTCTCGTGTCGGGCTGTTGGGGGCCTTCGGATCGGACTCTGGCAGGGTCTGTTGGAGTCTGTTGGTCATGTATTTCAAGGACGGTGTCCGTCGCAAACAGCGCTCTGTCGGAGAAGGAACGCCAAAGACCATCCTGGAGCAATCTGGTGGCAAGATTTGCTCGTCGTATCTCGTCGTCTGGTTTGAAGAGCAACAATGATACGATGCTGGCGGTAGTTGACTTGTTAAACCCGTCTGTATCTCGAAGAGCATCGCAAAGAGCTTTGCAGAAAATGTCTGCATAATCTTTGGCATAGAATCGTTGTCCTGCCAGAAGTCCCAAAGTGGACCCTTCTTCTGAAAGGTGCTCACGCGAGCAACACCAGATCTCGATCGCAGTCACCCGAGGCAGGGCCATGGTTCCTCCTTTTAGCCGAAAGGACAAAGAGAATTGGCAGCATTCTTAGGTCGGGCGTGATTCACAGTTCGACGGCGAATGTCGACCAATCTATCGAGCCTGTGTCGAGCCATGTTGAGCAGTTGGGCAGGTTGTTGCTCCCTTGTGACTTGCGTTATGAAGTGGCAGTCACGATTCGATGCGACCCTCTCTGCTGAGCCTGCCAGCTGCCAGCTGTTGCATGGAAGTGCAGAACGAATGCTGAACCTTTCCAACTCGCTACAGGCTTCTGCGGTGTCTCCCGGCGAAGTGGAGACCTTACCCCAGATGATTCGCCTGGCAGAGGACAGATCCCGGATAGGATAGGTTCGCAATAGCCACAGAAGACTCAGGACGGGGTACTAGTGGCAGGAGGAGAGAACACAGTGGCGCATTCACCCGCATTCATACTTCTGCTAAGAGTGACGATGAATAATCAATACTTTACCTCCATCCGAGCTTCTCTTTCGCAAGACAGCTTCTGGGCCAACTTGTCGGTTGCGACTTCCCAACATCTGACGTGACATTCAGTTGACTGGGCCTCGTTTCATGGCTGCTGTCGCAATAACATCCGGTCATCCAGCCACTGTCGTCACACATCGCGCCGCAGGCTTTCGGCAAGCGAAAGGTTCAGGAGCCGGGCTCGGAATGTTGGGGGTTGGGGCTTGTTTGTGAGACTGCTTCTGGCAAGGCTGTCACCGTGACTCATAGCGCGTCGCCAGTCCCACACGGTCGAGTTCCGCTCGGAAGGGTGCACGTATACAAGCTGGCACGTCCCAATGACGGTGATCATGCGTCACAGTTGATGAGATTCGCGAGTTTGGTGTCATGTTTATCTTACTTAAAGAGGGCCTGAGTGTACACCGAAACAAGCTTCTCCCGCCTCCGCCCAAACAAGTCGCCAAGCCGCACGAATGAGGGCTTGAGTGTCTTCGAAAGTCATCGTGTCTTCGAATGGGTATTTTGCATCAGTGCCGGCAAGACCTCAGCCCCAATCGGACGTCTAAAGTACAAGCATGCGCACGCGTTGATACCAGTTTGTTTGCTCGACAGGAGCTGGCAGAGCTACCAGCGGAGCCGTCCTCAGGGGTTCAGGTGTGTTGTTTCCTGCCGCCTTGCTCGAACCGCCAACCCTGCTGCAGGAGCTTGGCGCGGTATGTGCCGCCGCCGCGCGCTGGGGACTCGGTGTTGTCGGTGTTCCCTCACCAAGCCCAAGACAACAAATGCCAGCCAACCCGAAGTGCCCGCACCAAACGCGTGGGGATGCTCCAGACTCCTTTGCTATCATCCAAGGTGTGAAGTACTACGACCCGGGTCTATTCACGGAGACTCTGGGACCAGCAATGCGGAAGTGCCTCCAGGCGCGGACTGATGCTGGTGCAAATGCAACTCCACAACAGGCTGCAGAAAGACCTCGATCCCTTACGTAGGATATCGAGGAATGCATGCAGAATCTTTGCAAGAAACAAGCTCCTGGCACCGGCAGATCACCGCACCTGAGGCTGGTCTCGGCTCACTCGGGTCCGAGGCACACAGGGGAGGAACACACGGCAGAGAGGTATTGCAGAAAGCGGCTGTTGCTTTGATCTGCGTTGGGTTCCGTAACATTGATGTCCATCGTGATTAGCAGTGAAACATAGTGAAGCTGTCGCAGATGCCACGCAGCCCCAGCAGAATTAGATGACAGCACGCTGGCACCGTACGCCCGGAAGAGCAGAAGACAAACTTTTAAACTGGAGCCTTGAAGGAAAGAGTCGTACCTTGTCAAAAACTGGGGCCAAGCGAGCTCTTGAACGCTGAAGCACCGCACAAGGCAATGTATCACCTGTGTAACGTAACACAATGCAGACTGGTGTCAGGGTGGTCAGCGCGTAGAACCCAAACCATCCCCTGATACAAGAGTCAGGCCGAGTCGCGCAGGTTCAGCCTCGTGGAGGCAGGGAGAACTTGAGTGCCGAAAAACCTTGCAAAACTCTTGGCAACTGCATGAGGAAGCCAAACAAGCTTGAGCCAGAAGAACGGAGGCCTTGGATGTCCTCCGGGCGCTTTCGCAGCTCAACGCTGCCAAGGTGCAGCATCCCTCATGAAATGCAGGTACTGTAGGTACCCAGGGCCCAAAACAAAGAAAACACACGAATCTTTGGTGAGGCGCTCTCGGCAGTGTTCACTGCAGCGATCAAAGCTATCGAGGCGTGATCGGAGAGTCGGAGAGATAATTTGACAAAGACAGGCAGGGGTCAGGGAAAGAGTCGCTCCCACTGACTGGGACCAGGCACCTTTGCCATTGACAGGAAATTCTGACATGCCTTAATGCCGTCGATGGAGCCTTCAGCACCCGGTGACGCTCCTCAGGCTTATGCGAAGAAGGCCGGGGGCAATGGCGGCTTGGACAAGGATCCATGCCTGCAGGTACTGTAGTTGCCCGCTCAGAGTCAGAAACGGCATTTCTGCTTGCCCATTTGCAGCCAATGCATAGTACAGGTCCGGGAAGTTGCGCTCAAGTCCTAAGTATTACTCAACATGTGTCTCTCGCAGTCGGAGGAGCAGATCAAATTCCTTCGGGAGCTCTTTGTGGCTGCAGGTCGGGAGGAGGAGCCCAGTCGATGGCCGGAGGATTTCTGAAGAAAACTGCTGAAAAGGGCAAGTAAGGGCCGGTGTATAAGCAAGGACAAGCCAAGCATGCGATTTCATAGACAGTGCTAAAATGGGTCCGCTCCCGTGATACTGAAGACAAGTTTCACAGAAGTCTAAAAGCACAGGTGGTCGCAGCGCCTTCTAGGACAACATGATAACCCAGAAGTTCGTGTGCCCCCTCATCTTTGTGACACAACACCAAACGCCCTGCCGGAACAGCGCAGGATGTGGCCTTCCTGTCAGAACTCCGTGCTGCTGCCGGGGGTCCTCAGGGCTCCGTCAAGGAAGGGCTGAACAGCCAAGGCAGGCAGCAAGGGAGTTCGATCGGCCTGCCGGCACGGCTCTCGGATCAGTGTGGCATGCAGAGGTGGTTTTCGATTGATGGGTTCGTCGCGCGCACTTGCTGATTCTGAACCCCGCACCCGAATTCCGAGCACGAGAATGACAGGGCTGCCGATGCGCCCTGGCGCCCGCATTTGCGATTCCTTCGCGAAAAGTGGTACCTCGGATGGAGCCCTGGGCCCTGAATTTCCGGTTCGAGCAGCAGTGATTTGATTTGATAAGCCAGTTGATACTGGCTTAGCTGAACTGCTTTGATTCCAGAGTGGCATGCCTTCCGATCAGAAAGTCAAGGTTTGGGGTTTTATGCACAATGGCTTCAGGCGTAGAGTGTCAGTTTGCTTGCATTCAAAATCTTACGAAATACCCAGCACAGCCAAGTCGTGGGAGCGTGCATAAACATCAGACCGTGGGTTGGTGCTGTCAGCCTGGTTCCATTCGACCGATTTTCAGGGACTCAAAGGCACTCAAAGGCCAGCAGTGCTGCCAGTGCTTGGATGCGGTAGCATCGCTGGAATGCAACGTAAGCCCAAGTGTCCTGATGTCTGCAGAGCTTCAAAGTTTGGAAACTACAACCTGCACCAGGGCATTAGTCATGTAAGAAATGACCGGACCTAGTATCCATGATTGTAAAGCCGAAAGCTCTTCGGCAACCCGAACGATCAAATTGTTTCCCTGGGCGCCAACACATGGACTCGTCTGATGGTATCGGAGGCACGTGTCGTCTGGGGGCCAACTGCCGTTTCGACCACCCCGAGGGCATGAAGGTTGGGCTTACTCGGAAGGGTGATTTAATTTCGATGAAGACTAGGAGATGCAGACAGGTGCACATGCTTGTAGATTGTTTTTGTGTCTGGAGCTGAGAATATCTGCAGTGAAGATCGACAGGTGACGTTCAACTCGGAGGGCTTCCCGATGCCTGGCTGGCATAAGTTGAGCACAACCTCTCCCCAAGCACATGGGTGGTTGTCAACATTATGGTCCCTTTTTGGGTCCTTATTATAATACTGCACCTATTATTTAGGGTACCCCAAAAGGGACCCTAATTTTGACAACTACCCACATCAAGAAACTTCCCAGCCAAGGATGCGGCCCTGGGCTGCAACCTGCCCATACTACATGCGGCCAAGCTGAGCTTCGGGATCTCGAGGTATGCCATAGAATCTCACGGTAGGTTATAGGAAATTGTGGTATCGCTAGTTTGTTCTGTCAACAAGGATCACACACACGACAAGGGGCACAAACGACTGCAGCGACTGTGGCAACAGCAAGGACAAGTAGTGCCACAACCAACAGCACCCCAACTCGTGCGTTACTTCTACAACTCCCAGGATGCCCTCCTTTGCCACATCAACCTTACATCCGTAACCCAAACGCTTTGAGCAGCGATGACATTTGATAGCACATCCTGCTTGTTCACGGAAGCTGCTCCGTGCTGTGTGCAACTGAATCTTCTAGGCTCACGGTCAAGAGTCAAGAGCTTCTGGAAAGAAGTAGCAAAGCCTTTGTTCCCAGGTCAATGGGCACCTGCGACTTCAAGCGCAATTGCAAGTGGCACCACCCTGACAAGCGCGAGCGGGGCAAGTAGAAAAAGAGCTTCTTGCACTTGCAGGGCTTCATGGCATCGGCAAGCTATCATTCAAGGCAACTGTGCTTAAAAGGCGGTTTTCATGGCGGGTGGACTTTCAGAATCGAGAGACATAGGAATGGCAAGGGATTGGGCGGCAGGCTTCTGTCTTCCGGTTTGTACCAAACAAAAACCCTGGGACTTCGAATTTATAGGTGGCCTGTTTGGCGCTTGGTTTCATGAACTGGGACAACGAGTCTTGGGGTTACGGGAGCTTCCAGATTCCATGCCTATTCGGCTTCGGGATTCGTGGCCAAAAGGGCCGTCCAGTCTGGGTGTTTGCGGCGTGCGGTCGTTGAGGCTCGAAATCTCCATGCCGGCTTGGTGCAGGTGAAGCATCGGCCATCCAACCCACGCTTCTGCAAGCCATTGTCAAGGAAACTCTCCATGGGAAGTTTGAAGGGCCAAGCCTTCATAGCTACGGCTTGGGAGCCATGTTCTCTGAAGCGATTCCATGAAGGAGGCCATGCGGCTTCCGCCGCTCGGTTCGACAGACATCGGTTTAAGGTTCGCAGCCGATACCTGCTGTTCTTGAAACTTTAACTGATCTGGCATGTCAACAAGACTCGAGAAGTCGCGCGTGCATCCAAGTGAAGCGCCAAGTTCACATCCTCAAAGGAGCAACCAGATTGACATCTTGCTTGGGATATCAGTGTACTTGCACCCTGGTTGTTTGTTGGAACCGTGCGCATAGTTTGCAGCAACATTGGTCACAGGCCTCGAGTGTCGTGTGGGCGAGTCGTGTGCTGCTTGGTTTAGTCGATGCGTACGATTTTGGGCTGGCCGTCCGAGGGGTAAGGTGGGCGGGGTAGGTCTTGCTGCTCCGAGTACAGGAAAGATTTCAGCAAAAGCCTTTTCGATCAGGCCATCTTTTGCAATGTTCATACGGTGCTCCACCTCCCAACTAGATGAGGCGTGAGGTGACATCGCATGCCCACCGCAGCTATGGCGGACGAGGAACCATCAACGAGGAGAGTCCCGCGTGGCATGAAGTGCTTCAGCACTGCTGTTTCTCCGACCAATGCTTTACAGTCGCTGCAGGACTCGGAGCGCACCGCACGGTGGCGCCTGCCGGACGGCCCGGTCCCGCGCCTGTTTTGAGCCACATCGCAGACCACTGTAGTCTCGACATCCCCCTACACACAAGCCCTGCCGCAAGCCACAAGACCACTTATTTTCAGCACGGTCAGTCGGGAATTCAAGCTCGGTCCGGCTTCAATTCCGCATTTTGCGAGCGGATGCCAGCACAGCGGGAGTCTTTGCTTCGTCGGAATGATGTCAGCACCGTGAAACCTTGGATCTGCAGCCCCTGTAAGCCTGTAAGGCTTCAAGTCCAAGCATGGCCATTCTTGAAGGTACTGCTGGAGATCACCGCAAAAAGAGAAGTTGCCTTCCCACCATTCTGCTTACCGTGCATGAGATCACAACATCTTAACTAAACTACGAGTTTCATGCTGTGTGTGTGTGTGTGTGCATGTTTGTTTGTGCTTGCGTGTGAATCGATATCTCTATTGACCCTGTTGTATTGGCACTCGAGATATCCAAATATCAAGATGTCCATCTCCTGTTTTCTCTATATCATCTAATCGAATTTTCAGGCTTCGCCGGACCGGAGTCCCAGTCGCTCTGGCCGCGGCGCGTTGCCGACCCACAATCGGGCCCTCCGCGGGCTATGAGGGGGGAAACAGATAAAGCCGAACTCCGGGGTCTTTTCTCCACGGGATTGCTGTGATTCAGAGTCGAGATCCGATGCTGCACACTTCGAACGATCGCATGTTCTCGGAGGTTCTAGCTAGCTTGTAAGCTAAGCATTGCATGGTTCGCTGATTCAAGGTGGGACCGACATGTTGAAGTTGTTAGCTGGAGGCAGAGGTTTCACAACAGTGGAGTCGCCAGCAGCGGCAGCAAGCTGACCGTCCGGCCACCCTCAGAGACCTTGATGCGGGAAGCCACAAGTGAAGTCCGGCATCATGTTTCGCGTCCCCTTGCATCAACCAACCGTGCTCCTAATGAGCCATGAGCGACGAATGAGAAATCGACCATTCGCAGGACCTGAGCAACGCATCGAGTTTTGCCTTCGTCCCGTCTGGAGAAGGCCGGACTCACATTTTGCAAGTGGCTCAGGGATCAAGAGCCCTTGCATCGCAAACAGAAGCCTCACCAGGAAGTCCGCTTGCTGCTCCAGTGGCTCATACGGCGTTGCTCAGACGACTTCAGCTGGCTCATAGGTGTCAGAGGTGTGAAGCTTGCGGCTTGCGAGTCACTTTCCTCAGATCGTCAGCATATTTGATTGTAGGATGGCGCTGGGACCAAGGTTGCAAGACCACTTGGTGCAGCAGCAGGCGCTATCGCAAACTGAAGAGTCAAGCAACTGCTCCCAACACCCTGCAGTACCGACCGATTCGTCCGAAAAAGTCACTGCCAGGTGTCCATCCTTGAGGCTCAGCTTCTCCGCGAAGCCGCGGCCGGCGCAGCACTGGACGCCGATGGCATACAGGACGAGCTCTTGTAGCGATGCAACAATTTACTTGGTGGGAGGCCCTCTAAACACTAACACGGCTGAGGAACTTTAGATTATAACCCCAAGTGGCGGAGCCTTCGACCCAGAGACTTTCATTCTAGCTTAACAGGGCGGCTTCAAGATCATTTCAGGACACCGTCTCCTCATTTGTGTGCTTAAAGCCCATCTATCACGACTTGTCGCACATGTGAACGTTCGGCCTGAGGAGCATCTTGAGCTCTTCGAAGCACGACTGCGCCAAGCAATGACCGAGCAATTGCCAGGCGAAGGCTGGTTTTTGAAGACTTGTTGCAAACAGACTCGGCGAGGGTTTCACGGCGACGCTGCTTCTGAGCCACAGTCATTGCCCGTGACGGCACTTTCTGTGATGGCGGAATCGAAGAAATGCGTCGGCAGTTGGTTTGCAACAGGCACACGGCAAGTGTTCCAAGTTTGTTCCAGTCCTGTCGCCTTTGCGATTCTCGTCCGTAGTGCTGTTACATGACATGCCTGGGTATGACATAGGGCCTCAAGTCTATAATCCTTATGCAGCAAGTCCGAGGGTGAGAGCATAAGCCCTTATAGTAGCCCTCGCAGTGCCCTTGTGAGAACCCCGCAAAAAGACTCTTTTCTGGTGACGGGGATACTCGGCAGGCCGCCCTCGCTCTCGGCCCCGGGGTCCATTGCCCTCTGCAGCAGAGATCGAAGCTCAGGCCCGCACCGGAGCGGTACAGGAAAATGGCCGCACTCAATTATAAAGAGGTTTGATCTCGCAATGAGGTTCTCGTTGCAGGTGCTGCATATGGGTTCGAGCTTGTGAAGGTTTTCCCAGGAAATAGGATCGGTTCGTTCTCAACGCGACGCTTGTCAGCGTGGCCGGGACAAGGGGGGAATGGGGAGTGGAGGCGTTGTTTTGCTGTCATCTGTTGGTCGTGCCCAAACGGTCGAAATCGATGGTCAGGATGAAATCCGTGTTATGAATGGAACGATGAAAAAATTGCGGGATTGCGAGCACAACGGCAAACCGCAAAGCAGTTTAGCTCATGGCTGCCATGGGAGGAGCAGCAGCAGTGGCGCCTTCAACATCTGCAGCGGCCTAGGGCCACAGAGGAGGTGGAGGCAGCTGGGATGGTTCTTGAAATTCGTCACTCTTTCAGAAACAGAACTTCGAAGAAAGAGGCCGTCAGATACGTCTCGAGTAAATCGCTTTGTCACCACATGCCATAGCATGAAGGAGCGACTCTTGCCAGTCCTTCATTGCTAGGCATATTTGTACGACGCCTGATGCAGCCACCTGTTCTTTGTTTGTGGTTCTAGACCAGGGAAGTCACTTCCGGCGACACCGGGCAGCCTCTCTTAGCCGTCGGCAGGGGAGGCCAGTTGCCGGAAGCGTCTTGGGAGGTTCTTTGACCATAGCAGTCGTAGCAACAGCCAGACAGGCGCTGGAGATGTATGGTAGGACCTTGTGCAACGCGGCTGCGGTGATCATGAAGGGGTTCTGTGCAAACTCAAGATTGGGAAGAGGGTGTTCAGCAATTCGGGGTTCCCGAGCGTTCGAGATCGAAGTTGAAGACAGTGGCCGTTGCATGGCTTTGGAACGCTAAGAATCTACCAGGTTGCAGGCGATGCACCCCGAGCCAGTTGCTGGCAAGGAAGCAGAAAGCTTTAATTTCTGCGGCAGGCACTCACCGGCATCAATGGCTGCGGACGAGGTTCGAGCATTGGGACGCACAGTTCGGAAGGCCAAGTGCGGTCTAGGGCTCGGGGTTTCAGCTTCAGCTGCTTTAACTGCTTCTCTCCTGCCAGACTTGGGATGTCTTTAAAATGAGCAACCCCTACCAATGTAAGCACAGTCGGCCAATCGCTGAGAGTCAGCCGGCTTGAGACCCATTGAACAATTCGTGCTGCGTCTAACCTCTAGCATCCATTGCCACATGCGCAGGCACTTATGCTGCAGTAATCGCATTTCCCACTGGCTTTTGTGGAAAGCGCTTGCAAGCCAATCGACACTCCATCGTTCGCGGTGCTATACAGCTACACGCTTTTGCCCTGCCCTGCCCTCACTTTGGAAGACCTCGGCCTTCCACCACAACCGCGCCTCTTCGTTGGGCAGACAGGGCAGCAGGCCGCGTGAGCACAGACTTGTCAGCTGATGCTCGGAGTGCAGAGCTGGGCTTGTCAAGCCTGGGTTAGGAGAGGTTTCATGCTCAAGACCTGGAGCCCTTGTTTTCAAACCTGCTGATTCTGTGTAGCGATTGGAAGCGCAGGTCGTCACCCAGGCCAGATGCAGAGCACCAGGCTGGAGGATAGTCGTTATATGCCGCAGCTTGAAGAAGCGCACATTTCCCTCCCACTCAGGCCGACTTTTTTGTGCACACATACACGGGCTTATGTCGTTGTTGCTGCTCAGTCTACCTGTTTTCAGTGGTGCTAATCCTCCACCATCAGCCACTTGTTTTGTCTGCTTGGTCCCGTGACCGGAAGTCGGCAGTGGTTTCTTGGTGTTGAGCCGGGATGTTGCGCGACTTTCATTTCACGTGCCTGAGCCTTTTGCCAAGTTGGTCACCCTGCGAAGGCACCTACAGCGCATCTCCGGGCTGCTCCCAGCATCCCTCCTGGCGACCCGCAGTTGGCTGCGCACTCGTGCCCTTGATTGATTCATATGTCCGGCGGGTGATTTTTTTGGGATTTCGCCTCAGCACAAGAGGCTTCTGCTTTCTTCCATGTCAGGTGTGGTAATGATTATTAATGATGTAAACCCTGCGGATTCTCAGAACCTCGAGGGGCGGCTCGGAAGGCGACGGCGAGCACTTTAGATCCTGAAAGAGGTTCGGCCTTGAAGTCAAAGCAAACGCAGGTTCCTGTTCCCTTCTCACTTGCTGGAGCTGCGCAGAGCATGGCAAAAATTGATAGATTCTATACCTCTTCTCTGTTCAGGCTGGCCCAACCGGCTACAACCCTCAGACCGAGCCAGCCACAAACGGGAGCGGAGGCGGATGCGTATGGAGAGCAAAGGCAGCTTGGCTTGGAGTTGTTTCGGTGACAGCTGCGCAGTGTCCAGCTGACCTCTTCACTACCCTGCAGGTCTCTCCTGACATCTGCAAGAGCAGCGTCTTCCACTCTGGAGAGCGCAAGGTCAGCATGGCCGGGGACGTTGTGGGTTTCGAATTTCGAACTGCATCGGATAGGCCGGCAGGAAGGCGCAAGGACTCGCTTGCCTATAACCCAAAGCTACTTGCACAAGCCCTTGCCGGCCTTGTGCGAGTGTGAGAGTCGAAAGCGCAAGTAGCTACTAATTCTTATTTCCAAGACGAAGCCTTGCCCAAAGCCGGTTGCCCTCCAGGCAGTGAGAACAGTTAAGTAAGCGATCGCCAACCTGTGTTTGAGATCCTGGGTGCTTCTTGCACGGCAACCGCTTGTGATATGCCTTCTGAACATTGGCAGCATGTCCTGTACCCTTTCTTGTATGTTGTCTGCCGTACAACCTTGTCGGACATCCGGGGCAATCGACATCATCCAACCTATATCTCCTGCCCTTGCAGAAGCTCGTCGCCCAGAAGATGTCTTGTGGGCTTGACGAGCAGTCGTGGTGGTGCTGCTGGTGGTTTCCGGCGGCACTGTCCGGGGTTTACTTCTGATTACCCCGGCGGCAAGCACGATGATGTAGATTGCGCCATATGGTAGCTTGTTCCTGACATGTTGCGAGTCACCTAGACTCCTAGAGTACAATCAATCCTCGAGATAACATGACAACTTCAATCATTGTAATCCCACACGGTTTGGCAGCTTGATGCGCAAGCAGAATCGTCCAACTCACGCAGGCCGGCCCAGATGGCCACAACAGGTGGTCAGCCCGAATTCGATGAAGCTGGAAAGCTGAGGCTGGCTGCGTGGTTTGATTTGCGCGACTGCCCCGGGTCCAGAAGCCACAGTCGGCTCAACAAGTGTAGAAGAAGGCGAAAAGGCGAATGAGTCCAGAGTAGACGCTCTCCGTTCCCTTTCTGCCAATTCTGAAAGAGGCCACCCATGCTCATGCAAGAGGGCGAGGCTGGAGTGGACAAACAGCCAAGGCGGGGCAACGTTCTGTGAAGCTGCGTGAGAGTGTCTGAGAGTGGATTCCAAAAGTTATGCAGTTTCATGTCTCTGTTATCAAGCAATATGATCAAGTTAGCCCGCAGGCCGGCCCAGGCAGCCACAACACGTGGCCAGCCAGGGTCCGATGCAGCCGGAGAACCGAGGCTCACCGCTTTCGAGCTGTTGCAGCGGTGGCACGTGCCAATGTCGAATTCGGTGGCGAAGCGTTGGATCTCCGCGGCATAGATTCCCTCGAAGATCTTGACCCCAGATTCAGAAAGCACTTTCGGCGAAACAAGTCCGCATCCACAGTTTCTCTGTGGTAAGAGCACGGGAAGCGCTAAAGGCTGCAAGCGTAAGGCAAACAGACTTCGTTCCCTTTGCGATAAGTCCAGAGGAAGCATTCTGGCTTTTTCTGCTGTGGTAACAAGGAAGGATTATAC